CCCCCCACCCCTGCCCCAACTCCTGTGCTTTGGTGCTGCTTTGGGGGCGAAGCGGGCGGGAGCTACCCACCCTGGAGGGTAGACAAGTGGGATTTGGCAATCTGAGGAAGACGAGCTCCAAACTCCCAGTCGGATTGCAGAGTTAGGGCGCTCGTGTTTGACCTCGTGGAGTCTCAGGGACTCCCTTTGTATAGAGGCTGAAACCAGCCACGTGTGGGCTGTTGAGAGCATTAGAAATCAGCACCAGGCGCCACACAGGGCGGATGTGAGCACTGGGATGCTACAAATACAGTTATGACTTTAATATACTCAAGGTTAAACTCCTAGTTAATCTTTGCTAAGGAGAAACCTCAAGCTTGCTGGCTAAAGGATAGTAATTAATGGCTGGGGAATTCACACACCAGGGGCCCTGACTCTGGCGAGGTGGGGTGTGTGTAGGGCGTCCAGGAGCATTTCAGAGAGAACACGGGGCGACCAGGTATTATCGTAGCAGTGGTGGGTTGAGCCCAGCCTGGCGAGGTCTGGACTCAATGGTAAATCCAATTCTGAATTTGGCACTTATCCCCATACCTGTATTCCTACACGACAGTAGGCAGGGTTTTGTATATTTCCAAACTTAATATAAAGGCAATATAGTGTAACTTTATTCACGCAGCATTGTGACTCACCTGTGTTAATACTGTTCCTTTAGTCCACTACTTATACCACAATTTATTTCTCCATTTTCTTGATGATTGACATTTCGGTTGTTTGTAGTTTTCCCATGTTACAAACAATGCTACATTTGTGAACAGAACTTCTTGAGCATGGGATTAAGAGTTCCTCCAAGGCAAACCCAGGAGTGGAACTGCTGGGTTGAGAGGTATTTGCAACTTCAGTTTATTAGATATGCTCAAATAGCTCTTCAAAGTCACTGCATCGGTTTACATTTTCATCACCAGTACATGAGCATTCCAACTACAGCACCCTGAGCAACACTTGGCATAGCCAGACTTAAGCTGCGTGAAACATGCTGTGGTGGACGTAATTTGCATTTCCTGGTTACTAATGCAGGTGAGCATCTTTCCATTCATTATTTTGGCCATTTCAGTCTCTTCATCTGTAAATTCCCAGTCCATGTCCTTTGCCCATTTTATTTCCCTCATT